CCCCCCCCACACACACAGAGCAGTGCAGGAGTTTTTGTCAGTCTCTAGTCATGTGTTGGCAGGAGCTTACAGTTTAGTGAATTTCCAGAAAATCATGTGTAAAATCGAGTAGTAGCTTGGGCTGAGGCTTTATGCAACACCCATAAGCGAATATCTAGAATCTTAATGTGAATTTTTTCAGTATTTTCTGAAGACAGAAAGATAATCTATTTTTTAAAAAGTTATTAATCAAATGACTCTCCTTGTGATCCTCAGCTGGCAGGAGCTTACAGTTTAGTGAATTTCCAGAAAATCATGTGTAAAATCGAGTAGTAGCTTGGGCTGAGGCTTTATGCAACACCCATAAGCGAATATCTAGAATCTTAATGTGAATTTTTTCAGTATTTTCTGAAGACAGAAAGATAATCTATTTTTTAAAAAGTTATTAATCAAATGACTCTCCTTGTGATCCTCAGCTGTTGTATAAGAATCATTGTATCAGTGTTGAAATTGATGTCACAATTGCATTAGAATAAGCCTTTTCAAGTCTCTCTTATCCCATATTTTACAATATTTAAACCACTGGGTCCCAAGACTTTGGCCCAGTGAGCATATCAGGAGCCTCTTTTCAACAGCACCAGTTCAGTTCCCCACCCTCCTTTTTAAATACAAAGCCAGACCAGTATGTGGTTACAGTTGCAGTTACCGCAATGCTAGAGAAGCATGTCAAGCAACATATATAGTCAAATTGCAGTCTATGGTGCATTTGGTGATGGTTCATAAATTGATGGATGGCAACATGATCCCTGGTTTTGGTGGTTTCTACAGGTTTCCAGGCTCTTCGCTGCAAGGAAGAGAACAGTAGACTACAAAAGCAACTGGGAAAAAGAGGAGGCAGCCTAACCGTTTTTGGGGTGGTACTTAAGTAGAGTAAAAATAAAATACCCTCAGGGATTAAAACTAAAATACCTTTTGCGGCTAGAGCTGCCAAGCACGAACTGCAAAGGAAATAGGGCAGCTAGGCAAAAATAGGAAGGAAGATAACCTAGTCTCAGGAAACATGGAAAATGGGGGAGAAGAGCAGGTGACATTGGGAGAGGTTGTAAAAACAAAGAGCAGAAAAAGCACCGTTAACGTCTTTCCAGATAGTCTTTGCATTATAGACAGAAAACATACATTACTTTCCTAATAGTTTGTCATGCAGCTAATTGCTGTAGCTGGCAAAAAGGTGTTTTGTAATTATGAAACATTAATCTTTTTACATGATTCTTGGGTCATCCTGTGGAAAAAAAATTAGTAAATAGCTAAAAGAAAAAAGCTAGTTAAAATATTGCTAGAACTGAAAAAATATGCATAAATACCTCTTGAAATTTCCTCTCCACCTTAATGGGTGCATCCAGTGTGTGGAGTTTTTTTTTCTGTAATATATTTTGGCCTCATTGAAGTTTTTAATAGAAAGTATCACATTTTTATGACTCATGGAATCGTACATGTAATGCCAGAAAGGATCATTTATAACATCTATTTCACTTCTTGAATAGCACAGCCATATAGTTTTACCACATGGTTCCTGCACTGAGCCCATAACTACTAAACTAACAAAAAAAAAGAGAGAAGTATTCAGTTAGATTTTTAGGTAGCTTAAACCAGTGTTTCTTAAACTTTTTGAGACCACGGAATACCAAACAATAATATTATTTTGTAGGCGCGGGACACCTATGAAAATTTTCTTCAAAAAAAAAAAATCTTGTTGCACAAAAAAAGACAAAAACAAAGAAGAGGTCTCGGCACACCTGCAAGTTGTTCATGGAACACCAGTTTAAGAAACATTGGTTTAAACTGCTCCAGGGATGTTAAGCTCACCGTAATCATCTTCAACCCAAACAATTATCACAAAGATTTGAAGTGGCTGCTCTGAGCAAATTCTAGTAATTAAGGCTACAGAGCGCAATTAAAAAGAACCCATCAATCTTTCCTTCCTTTGTAGTTCAGCAAATATGGGCCATTTGTTTTGTTTGCTGGGTAAAAACACATTTTTAAGCTAAATTTAAACTGAAATACTATCAAATGGCTACAATGTTTCTAAATATGGTTAGAAAGAGGCCTTCCTTTTCCAAGTACTATAATTTACGGGTCACAACCTTCTTGTGGTTTTGTTAGAGAGATTTTTCTCATTGTACAAGTAACAATTTAATTGTGTGTTTGTATGCGAATACAGACTGAGAAACTGTAGATTTCAAAATATTCCTTGACCTCCCCCTCACTCCCAATCTCAAAAACTGGCATTTCAGTCTGGATGTTGATGCTGTGACTCCTTTGTGCTACCTACATTCACTGAGCAGCACATGAAATCAACTCATTCTGTCATTTACGTTACTAGTTTCCTGGCTTGTCCAACTGATCTAATCACACATTCTGTCAAATGCTAACGTTGGGTAAGAGATGTGAATGGTTAACCAGTGGGAGCTGGAGCAGCCCTTCCTTCCCCCTCCCTCCACTATGGGCAGGGGGGCTGCCCAACGTAGCAGGGCCCGGCAGGCCAAAGGAGCACCTACCTGTAGTAGGCCTGGCCTGACCAAAGCAGCATGCTGTGAGTAGGGTTGCCACGTGTCCGGTTTTCGCACCGTCTGTCCAGTAGAAAAATGCATGTGCCATGTCTGGTATTTTCTGAATTTCCGGCGGGGCGCCGGAGGGAAGCTTGGCGGGGGCAGGAGAGCGACTGGGAGGTGGAGCGCAATTGGCTTTGGGAGCCCTGTAGTCGCGCGCAACGGTGGGG